GGCCGCCCTGGCGACGCAGCTGCCACCCTCAGCCAGAGAAATGCCCCGGTGCAGGAGCGTATTGCCCGGGGGCCGCGGCTCAGCACTCACCTTGGCGCTGCCGCCCGGCCATGCATAGGCTCCCGCGCTGCTCCCCCTTCCTGTCCCTCCACCTGGGCCTGAAGTATTTATAGCGGAGCAGCGAGCTGGCGGCTGGCAAATATTTGGTAGCTGTATTGTAATAGTAGACTCGGTAAACAGAGCTGGGGTTTGCTTTAGCACCCAGCAACGGGAGAGCGGCGCGGGGAGGGACGCGGGGACGGAAGGCAGGGCTCACCTTAATGGTTCACTAGCCAGGGGATTTTCAAGTGTTGTTCCTGTAAATTCACCTATTAAATCGGCAGCCCCAGCTGCCAAACTGCCCGCACACTTGTGCCGAGGGCTCTTATCTCCCCACTGATTGGAGGCGAAATCAAGCTTTGTCAAATAGGCGTAAAATTAAATTTCATGCTATTTTGACTCCTGGAGTAGGGATCTTCTGAAGAACATACTGCGTATCGAGCGATGCCTCTGCAAACAGGCGCTGCCGCTGTGGCTGCAGCAGGCAAAACCTCTCTGTGGGGGTCCTGCGGTGCCGGCCCCCCGCACAGCAGAGCGGGGCCGGGTGCTGCACAGCCCCCGCGTGGGTCCGGACCTCCCATCTCCAGCCTCGTGCCCCCCGCTGAGGTGGGTGCAGGGCTCCCTGACCAGCCCCAGGATGGGGTTTGGAACCTTTTGAGGTGGCAGGACACGGCCCCAACGGCACGGCCAGCAGGAGAGGCACTTTAGGGTGCTGTGCTCCCCAGGGGGTGGTGGGGCTGGGTGCCCGGGGCTGGTGGCTCTTGCCAGGCAGTGCCTGTGGATGCAGAGATGGGGACATATTGTGTGGAGAGCAGCTGGGCCAGCTCCGCGCCGGGGACAGCACCAGGGACGGCAGTGTTGTCACTGTGGACGGGGCACTGGGGGGCCCCGGGGCTCCGCT